GCTGGGATGATAAAAAGCAAACAGGAGTTTGCTACAGATGCGGTATGAAAGGGAATTGGGCACATGTTTTCCGTACGCCAAAACATTTAGCCGATCTGTATAAAGAATCTCAAAAGAGAAAAGAGAAAGGAGGTGAAACAAAAGAGAAATGAGGTGAAACAAACTTCTTCTCTGATGAACCTGGGCCATCATTTCATGGTTTAAATGACGATACTCATCTCGACGTATCAGACTTTCTGGTTGAGCCAGAGAGTATCGATGAGTAATATAAAATCGATGTGATATAAGTTTACTGTATTATAGTATCTATATCTTTTATTGTAAGATATATGTTATGTTTCTTGTTTAATAATGCATGTTTTATATTATGTGATATAAGTTTAATAATACATGTTTCCAGAAAGAATGCCAAACTTTGAAACTATGGATGGAGATATGTGTTTGGCAGATAGTGCTACGACGCACAGGATAATCAAAGATAAGAAATATTTCTCCAGACTCAAAATAAAAGATTACGCTGGAAGCGTAAGTACAATATCTGGTAATGCAAAGATTATAATGGGCTCTGGAATAGTGAAATTTTCAGCCAAGGGGGACAATATTTGAAATAAGTAATGCATTATACTCCCCCGAGTCTAATAGAAACTTGTTAAGTTTCAATGATATCCGAATAAATGGATACCATATTGAGACTATGTGTAAAGATGGCATTGAATTTCTTTGCATTAAATCTGAGGGGAAACATATATTGGAAGAGTCAAAAATGTTATCCTCTGGACTATATTGTACAAGAATACACATGCCTGAGTCCTATGCCATGGTAAACATGAAGTTTACTGATACATTTAAAATATGGCATGAGAGGCTAGGACATCCTGGTTCAGTCATGATGAGAAAAATAGTGCAAAATTCAAATGGCCATCCGTTGAAAAACGGAAGAATTTTGCAAACGGGCAAGTTTACATGTAAAGCATGTTCTCAAGGAAAACATATAACTCGGCCATCACCAGCAAAAATAGACAATGAATCACCAATGTTTTTAGAAAGAATACATGGTGATATATGTGGGCAGATCCATCCACCGTGCGGGCCGTTTAAGTATTTCATGGTATTGATTGACGCATCTAGTAGATGGTCAAATGTGTGTCTTTTGACAACACGAAATACGGCTTTCGCAAAGTTCATTGCCCAAATAATAAGGCTGAGAACGCAGTTCTCAGGATATGCCATTAAGAAAGTAAGGCTTGATAATGCTGGTGAATTTACATCGCAAGCATTTAATGATTATTGTATGTCAGTGGGGATTGATGTAGAACATCCAGTGCCACATATTCATACACAGAATGGCATGGCCGAGTCATTAATAACACGGTTGCAGTTGATTGCAAGGCCGTTGATCTTGAGGACAAAGATCCCAATTTCAGTATGGGGTCATGCTATTTTGCATGCGGATGCACTGATTCGGTTAAGACCGAGTGCATATCATAAGTACTCCGTATTACAATTGGCATCTGGGCATGAGCCAGATGTATCCCATCTCCGTGTCTTTGGGTGTGCGATCTATGTTCCAATAGCTCCACCACAAAGGACAAAAATGGGCCCACCAAGGAGATTGGGAGTATACGTGGGTTATGTGTCACCAAGTATAATAAGATATCTGGAACCAGTAACTGGTGATATGTTTACGGCACGATTTGCCGATTGCCATTTTAATGAAGAAGAATTTCCAGTGTTAGGGGGATGAATTAGAGAAATTCCTAAAGAGATTACTTGGTGTACACCATCGTTGTTACACCTTGATCCCCCTACAAATCAAAGAGAGCTGGAAGTTCAGAAAATTGTGCATTTGCATAATTTGGCAAACCAGTTACCAGATGCGTTCATAGATACGAAAAGGGTGACGAAATCATATATACCCGCTGAAAATGTCCCATCAAGAGTTGTTGTTCCTAAATAACACACTGATGGAAATACAATGAATGAGCCTAGGGCTCAGCTAAAAAGGGGGAGACTTGTGGGTTCTAAAGATAAAAATTCCCGAAAGAAAAAGAAATTGGTGAGCAAAAAGGGAAGGTTCTAGAATAACCTGATACTGAAAGATGTCTGAAAGAAGGCATAGATGAAAAGGTTCAAGAAGAAAAAAATAAAGATAAAGATCCAGATGACGAGGAGGGAACAGAAAAGTATGAGATTTCCATCAACTACGCCCAAGATGAAAAGTTATGGATCAGAAATAAAATAAAAGATGTTGATGGAATGTTCTCCTTTTCTGTGTCCTAAAAAATAGATCACGAAAGTGATGATCCTGATCCAAGGTCCATTTTAGAATGTATGAAAAGACATGATTGGGAGGAGTGGAAGAAAGCCACTGAAATTGAATTACTCTCCCTAAATAAAAGAAATGTCTTTGGACCTATAGTCATAACGCCTGAGAATGTAAATCATGTATGGTATAAGTGGGTATTCGTGAGAAAAGTAAATGAAAAGAATGAAGTAACACGATATAAAGCCCGATTAGTAGCCCAAGGTTTTTCTCAAAGACCGGGAATTGATTTTGAGGAAACGTATTCCCCGGTAATGGATGCAATTACGTTTAGATTTTTGATGAGCCTTACGGCGTCAAAGAATCTTGAAATGCATCTTATGGACGTTGTGACTGCATACTTGTATGGATCATTGGATAATGATATATACATGAGACTCCCTGAAGGATTGAAAATTCCAGAAGGATTGAAAGAAAAATCCAGAGAGATTTGTTCGGTCAAGCTACAGCGATCACTTTACGGATTAAAGCAGTCCGGACGCATGTGGTACAATCGCTTAAGTGAATATCTCTTGAGAAAAAGATATGTGAATAATGCGATATGTCCATGCGTTTTTATAAAGAAATCGTCATGTGGCTTTGTGATCATTGCTGTATATGTTGATGACCTGAACATTATTGGAACTCAAAAGAAGGTTGATGATGCACGAACTCATATGAAAGAAGAGTTCAAAATGAAAGATCTCGGAAAGACAAAGTTTTGTCTTGGGCTCCAGATTGAGCATCTCCGAGAAGGTATATTTGTGCATCAATCAAATTATACGAAAAGGTTATTGAAACGCTTTCATATGGAAAAATCAACTCCTTTGAGTACTCCAATGGTTGGTAGGACTCTCGATGTAGAGAGAGATCCTTTTAGACCCTGTGAAGATAGCGAAAAGATGTTAGGTCAGAAGTACCTTACATGAGTGCTATTGGTGGGTTGTTGTATCTAGCGAACTGTACCAGACCTGATATTTTCTTTGCCATTAATCTTCTTGCAAGATAAGTTCGGCTCCTACTCATAGACATTGGAACGGAATTAAACACATATTCCGTTACCTTCAAGGTACAGCTGACCTAGGATTAATGTACTTTAGAAAACCCGAGTTTGGTATGGTTGGTTTTGCAGATGCCGGATACTTATCAGATCCTCATAAGGCTCGTTCGAAAACCGGGTATGTTTTTACAATTGGTGGGACAGCGATCTCTTGGCGTTCGCAGAAGTAAACTCTGGTTGCAACATCTTCGAATTATGCAGAAACCATTGCACTTCATGAAGCCTGTCGAGAATGTGTGTGACTTAGATCAATGAGTTACTACATACAAGAAGCAAGTGGAATAGTTGATAAGAAAGAGCCGACGAAAATATTCGAAGACAATTCGGCGTGTGTTGCTCAACTTAAAGAAGGCTATATCAAGAGCGACATAACAAAGCATATGCCGCCAAGATTTTTCTCGTACATACGTGAGCTCGAGAAAAATAAAATAGTGGACATAGAATATGTACGGTCATGCGACAATCCCGCAGATTTGTTTACAAAGGCCCTTCCTACTACGACGTTCCGAAAACACGTCTACAGTATCGGGATGCGACATTTACGTGATCTATGAAGAAAAAAAACTATGTTCATTATTCTCAGGGGGAGATTACGACAATGTACTCTCTTTCCTTTTTCATGGTTTTTAGCCCAATTGGTTTTTCCATGACTAAGGTTTTAACGAGGCATTACGTAATATAAAATAGATAATCAAAGGGGAGTGTTAAAGATAATTAGTGATTATCTATCAAATGTAAAGGTGGAGGGCTTGTCACCAACTTCATCACGTGGCTTATAACCAACTCTATTACGTGGTGGTGTGTTGTCAACTCCTCAACTATTCAATGTGACTATAAATACCCCCACACCTCATTTGTAATACGTGTGTGTGTGAAAGTCATAATAATAAAGATTCTGAATTCTCTTCACTTCTCTCGTTGTATTACACAAACACAAAGCAATCAAATTTTATCTTTTTGCTTATTAATTTACAACAAAAAGAAATTTATCCGCGTATTCTCTGATTTTCTAATAAATCGTTAGGCACTAATGTGTCGCATGTATAGCGCATAGCGAGTTAAGCATCGGATCTTAACTTAACGGTTAATTTTGATTTGATCGTCTATTGTAATAAATTCATTACAATTACAGTTACTAGTTGTGTGCATGCATATAAGTTGGCTCATCTGCATAATAAGGATTTAAGACCCTTCTACACCGCATATACACAGGTTATGCTTTTCTAATATATTATAGGATGTGGATCGTTTAGCACAAACTCTTCACATTTTGAAGACTGTTTTCGTATGAATATGCTCAAAGCAATACCATTGTTATATTGTCAATTGGTACATGTTAGAATGTCAGCCAAAGCTAATCATCCTTTGTTGCTGCACCGAATTGTAACAGATTCCCTCAGCTTATATTGGACAAATCTGAGATCACCTATATGGAATCGTCAATGCTAAAACATATATGGAAGATGAATAGGCAGCAAGATCAGAAGTATTTAGGATGATGTGTGAATCAGACGAGTGAAAGGCTTCAGCTAAGCTAGAAACAGTCACGGTATCGGAGATAAAACATGAAGTAGAGGCTTTAGATTAGCTGATCTACAGTGACAGGCTCTAAACTATCAGCAGAAGGGAAAGGGTAAACTAAATGTTCTATCACTCTTTTATGACAGCTCACAAATATGAAAGACTGAACTTATCGTCTAAATGTCTCAATTATTTTGCAAGTACATTCTAAGACAAATCAACCGGAGAAGAAGCAAGGCAAAAACTGGCAAGAGTTACAAAAAGAAAAACATAAAGCTGTATCTCTGCGTAAGAGCAGTGTTTGGTCTCTGGGTCGGAGTAGAATCACAAAGACGGTCTCTGACAGAGGATGAAGAGTTGACAGCTGATGAAAGCCATTAGCAGAGAAGTGATGAGCTCAAACCCGACAACTTTGGGGAAATGCCATCCCATGACTCTCCTTAGATAGCTTGTGATTGAAGGCATTGTGGCGATGATCAGTGCACACGTGTATATGATGGGGATCAGAGTCTTTGGCTTGTTCTTGCGGAGCCACATCAAGGATCCTAGAGCAGCTAAAGATATCGTGAACACCTGACAAAAAGAACATTTTTGATGGAAGTAAGAAACAATTAGATAAAAACTTCCTACAAGTAAAGATTGTGGAGGTAGATACCAGATTTGCATTGGCTTCAAGGCCTTGCAAAACATAATCCCAGGTGAACTCAAGTCCTCGAGCACCAACCCAAAGAGGAGCCAACCTATGCAAAACAGAATCCGCAAATGCCCATCCTGAAACAAAAGAAGGCATTTGATTAAAAATGGAAAGAAACTCACCATCAATCATATCATAGATTTGTAACATATCTCCACTTTACCAAGGCCAACAGCTTGAAACTTATGGTTTTGAGAGATGTTCCTGTGAGTGAGCTGAGCCAGAGCAAAATACAGGCCAGCAACATCGATGAAGCCAATCATTGCTTTCAGTGCTTCCTGATGGATGATACAAGGTGGATTGGATTGATAGTCAATAGTCATTTACATAATAAAACGAAGCTAAGCAATGATAACAGTAACTGATAGCAGAAAAGAAAGTCAACGATGTGCATGCATCTCACAAAAAACATGTCAAAGCAGTCATCATGATATTGGGGATTCAAGAAGAAGAAGAAGAGACAAACCTGGTAAGGATCAAATACTTCGGTTTCAGAGACTTGCAGAAAAGTTGCCAAGCAAACAAGCTGCACATGAAAATGAAAATGAAAATGAAAACGAAAATGAAGGTTATAGCCACGAGATTCAGATACCAAATCAAGATCATGTGTTGACCTAACAACCTTAACCAATGCTGTGGCGAGGTAAACAACCGCAGCCTTCACGGAGGTTCCAAGAGTGTCATATTCAGATCTGCAATTTTGGGAAATATAAAGACACGAAGATGATTCTAGATCCACGAGGAAAGCAGTTATTATATAGAATCACAGATCGAGAAAAGAAGGGAAGTTTCGTACAGTGGAGTGGCGGAGTAGTAGACGGCGTGGGGACCGAATGTGAGAATCGCACAGTTGAAGAAGTGAAATAGCGTCATCCTTCTCTTCACCAAAAGCACAACCTACAACTCCGTCGTCTGAGCCTTTGCTTCTTTACTTCTCAAATCTGATACTCAATCAACAATGAAAAAAAAAGTAAAAGATGGAATCTTTATGCTAGTGAGCCGTCTAACCAACAAGGCCCAATAGCAAAGTGAATCAGTTTAACATAACAGAATTTCATCATTTCGCGTATCTACTACATTCTATAATATATATATATATATATATATATATATATGCTTAAAAATATTTTATAAAAAGCAAAAGTCACATTTATAAAGTTTAGTCAATGTATAAAATTTTGCCAAATACTTTTTTCTTTGAAAAGAATATTTAAAATATATATATTTACTAAAAATATTAAATTATTAACTCTATAAATAAACAAAATATCACAACCTAACATTTCTGATTTAATTTCACTGTTTCTTAATGTATTCACCTATATTTTTAGGAGAATTTTTTTAAATTTCAGTTATAACATAAAATCGTTTAACATACCCTAAGTTGACTTTCATTTTAGAAAAATACTCACAATCAAAAATATCATATTTAGAATTTAATGATTATTGTTTATGATTTGGTATTTGGGTTCTATAAAATCTTATAATTTTTTATAAATTATTTTTAAACATTTATAAATTATTTTTTATGAGATTTAATTTAATATTTTATCATAAAATCCTTTATAAAATTGGTTATCAATAGAGTTTTTTCATATTTTTGGATCAGAATTCTCTACGCTGGATCGTTTTCTACTTATTATAGTGCCTAAAACTCTACTCTCCGTTCCGACCATGTTTTAGAAGAAAAAATTTATTTAAAAAATATATTATTTACATTTTTAATATATTAGTTAATGACATATACAGCCTAAAATATTTTGGGTCAGAAACTCAAAAATATAAAAAGACCAAAATGTAGTTTGTAGACATCAAACCTTTGACCTCTTTGCATACATAAATTATGTACCAACAAAGCTACAAGAATGTAGAATTTAACGCTGAAATTTTATTTAGTTTTGTAGAAGGTTACAAGTGCATGCTTCCGTGGAGGCCCACGGAAAAACGTAATCGGCTCATTAGAAGACGGTTCGTTCAATCTAATCCATGATTGACGAGCCAGCTGTCAATAGATGGCGTTAGCCGAGTAGTAGCCGAAGGGCGTCCGTACAAGTCACAAACTCGTTTTCACGGGCCGAGCAAGAAGCCCAATACGGAAGCCCATCAACACATACCGCTTTAGGTCAAACTAAACAAGGAGAGATCAACTATAAAGGGGGAAGGAGGCACAACGAGAAAGGGATACGAAAATAGACTTACTAGGCGGTAACTTGTACTAGGGTTTTCATCTTATTCTCCGTGTTGTTTACCAACTAGTCCATACGACATATCCGGTTAAGCTCTCCGAGCACCGGACGAATTCTTTGTACCCCCTCTCTAATTATAAATAAAACTCATTCTCTTTACTCATACTCGTTCGTACTTTCGTAATAACCCACCGACGAGTCCATTCACTCACTTTAATGACATACGACCGAACTCGGTACAAACACTTGGCGCCCACCGTGGGGCAATACGAAGTAGTGTGACACAAATATTAACGAAGAAGCTCCTTCCGACGCACAGCCGGAAGAAACACCACCAGTTCCGAACGTCAAACCCTAATGGATTCCGTCTTGGCCTGTCTAGCTTAGCAAGAAGAAGCTCAGAAGACGACAGATGAGCACCTCGCAGCTATCGCCGCCGTACTCGCAAACCCAGATGGGAACCTCTCGACGGCCCGACGATTTCTTTTCAACACAAATCCAAGCCCTACTCCGGCTAATCAGCCTATCATGCCGGCTGAACTCCCGGACGACTATGCGCAACCGGGAAACATCCCAGATCTGCAAACCATCCGAGAAATCGCCAAACTGAAGCTTGCGCTCCAGGCAATCCACTCTAAGATCTATCACGTCACGACCGCCGCGCCTCAGATAGATACGGTCCTCGCCACCGCACTCTGAACACCCTTCACCTGCCGTATCACCGACGTTCGGCTGCGTATCATGAAGAAAATCAGATTACCAACATTCGGTGGCAGTGAGTACCCAACGGAGCATATTACAACATTCAACATCGCAATGGTTCGAGCCAACTTTACTGACGCCGAGAGAGACGCCGGCTTCTGCCAACGTTTTGTGGAGAGCCTTGAGGAAGCCGCTTTAAACTGGTTCTCCCGATTACCAGAGAACTCAGTCGACAGCTTCCGCGACTTGTCGACAGCTTTCCTCAAGCACTACATCAGGTTTACCAACCAGAAAGCAACGGCCTCTGACTTGTGGAAACTCTCTCAACTGCAGGGTCAGAGCCTACGAGAGTTCATGGAAAAGTTTAAGGCAGTGGTTTCTAAAGTAAACGTCCCCGAAAACATTGTAGTGGACGCCCTGAAAAACACACTCTACATCCACTCAAAGTTCCGTGAAGACCTCTATCGTAACCCCACAACGTCACTCCAGGATGCCATTGCGCGCTCCAACAATTTCATTCGGATGGAAGCGGATACCAAAGCGATGATAAGAAAGCAGCATGCAAGCAAACCCGCGCTGAGTAAAACCACCGACTCGAAGCAGGAACCAAGGCAACACTCGGCAGACGATAAACAGCAAAAAAAGAAAAGCTTTGTCTACATGGTGGACGAGGACACCCTCTCGGACTCGACAGTTGTGGTTCGCGCTAAAGGGTGGAATCACTATCAGCGAAAGGATGAAGGCGAACAAGGCCAGTCCTCTTCCGAGAAGCCGGATGCCGACGAACCAGAATTGTACTGCTCATATCACAAGTCCAAAGCGCACGACTCTAAAGACTGCAAGCAGCTTAAAGAGATCATGTTCAAGCAGCTTAAAGAGATCATGTTCGGGAAGTACGCGCGAGGCGAAATCCCAACCGACCCACCTAAGCCACGTCTGAAAGGGAACAACAGCTAGAGCAAAAAAAAGGACAAAAGGTCTCAGAAACCCTCCGGCAAACCAAAGCAAGACGAGGCTAACCAAAGGGCGAAAAGTCGGAGTCTCACGACCGCGACGATACCCCCCTGAAGAGGAGAAGCCAAAGAACAAGAAAAGGATCCAAGTTATTCTCGCTAGCCCTGAGTCGTCATCCGACGAAGAACCAGATCGAGACCTGGGTACGCTCTTCACCGCGCGAAAGTCAGCCCATAAACCTGACGCTACTTCCGATCTCCGAGATAAGCTCAACCGCTCCAAAACTCGCCGAGTAGCATCCAGTCAGGATGTCGCAGATCTACGTGATAATTTGAACTCCACAAAAAACGACCTCCGAGAAACGCTCAACCGATCGAAGAGCGCCAATCTACGACAACATTTAGGTCAGGTCAGATCTCTAGCAACGTCGCATGGATCCCCGAGAGCACAAACCAGGTTAAACTTCATCATGGGAGGTTCATCACCATGCGAAGACTCGGTCCAATCCGTCAAAGCGTATCATGGACATGCAAAGTCGTCCAAACGCTGGACTTCTCAGCCAACGGATGACCATTCGATCACTTTCTCGGCCAAAGAAGCTATCGGTGTCCATATGCCTCACAACGATCCAATATTAACAAGGTGGGCATCGTTGACTGTGAGGTGACCAAAGTCCTAATCGACACCGGTAGCTCGGTCGACCTCATTTTCCACAGTACGCTCAAGAAGATGGGAGCCGATCTCCGCCTCATCAAGCCATCTACTCATTCCCTAACATGGTTCAACAGAGTATCCGAGGTGATGCTCAGTACGATCCGTCTACCGGTATACGCAGGAGGGGTCGCTCGCACAGTCAAGTTTTCCATTGTCAAAACAAGTGCTCCGTATCATGTAATACTCGGCACTCCCTAGCTGCACTCGATGAAGGCAATCTCGCAACCTACCACCAATGCGTTAAATTCCCTGGCACGGACGGACACATCCGAACGCTTCGTGGCGATCAGGAAGCGACACGTGCATTGCTCATAGCAAATATCAAGCAAGCGACGCCTCGCGTGAACTCAGTTTCTAAACCGATGCATAAAATCTACCCACAAAAAAAAGAAGTCCTAGAAGTTCAGATCGACGACAGTGACCCGAGTATGGTCATATGAATTGGTGCTTACCTTCCCGATGAAATGAAAAAAGTCATCGTCGAATTTCTTCGAGCCAATCAATCAACCTTCGCTTGGGAAACATCGGACGTGAAAGGAATCATACCACCATCATGTCACATCAACTTAACGTCGACCCAACCTTCAAACCTATCAGGCAGAAAAGACGCATACTCGGGCCCGAACGTTCAAAAGCGGTTAACGTGGAAGTCGAGTGGTTACTCGCAGCCGGCTCAATTACAGAGGTTCGGTACCCCAAGTAGTTAGCAAACCCGGTTGTTGTTAAAAAGAAGAACGGGAAATGGCGGGTCTGCGTAGATTTCACCGACTTAAACAAAGCCTGCCAGAAAGACAGTTTCCCACTCTCACACAACGATCGTCTGGTTGAGTCAACCGCCGACAACGAGCTCCTCACATTCATGGACGCTTTCTTGGGATACAATCAAATCACAATGCATCCTTCTGACCGGGAAAAAACCGCGTTCATCACAGATCGGGGAACTTACTGTTACAAAGTAATGCCTTTCAGACTCAAAAATGCCGGAGCAACTTACCAGCGCCTCGTCAACAAAATGTTCGCGGACGAGCTCGGCCGAACAATGGAAGTATATATAGACGATATGCTGGTCAAGTCACTCTGCGCGGCGGACCACCCCAAGCACCTCTAGGCATGTTTCAAAACCCTCAATGAATAAGGCATGAAGCTGAACCCGGCTAAGTGCACATTCGGTGTCACCTCTGGTGAATTTCTTGGATATATCGTGACCCAGCGAGGAATCAAAGAAAACCCAAAACAAATCTCGGCGATCCTCGATCTACCAAGTCCGAGAAACAGCCGTGAAGTACAACGCTTAACCGGTCAAATCGCAGCATTGAACAAGTTCATCTCTCGATCTACGGACAAATGTCTTCTGTTCTAAGAACTCCTTCGCGGGAATAAGCGTTTCGTCTGGGGCGAGAAATGTGAAGAGGCATTTGCGCAGCTGAAAAAGTACCTCACCACTCCCCCGGTACTGTCGAATCCCAAAGCCGGTGACATCCTCTCTCTTTATATAGTCGTCTCACCAACAGCAGTCAGCAGCGTCCTTATCAAGGACGATCGCGGCGAGCAGAAGCCGATTTTTTACACAAGTAAACGTATGACCGACCTCGAGACGCGCTACCCGACTCTAGAGAAAATGGCCTTAGCAGTCATCACTTCCGCAAGAAAACTCAGGCCGTATTTCCAATCCCATACGGTAGAGGTCCTGACTAATTACCTTCTTCGAACGGTCATGCAAAACACAAATCAGTCTGGCCGATTGTCGAAATGGGCAATCGAGTTAAGCGAGCACGACGTGGTGTTCAAGAGCCGCCCTGCGGCTAAGTCCCAGGTCTTAGCCGACTTCATCATCGAGCTACCTCATGACCTTGATGAAGAGCTTGCTCAAAAACTTATGCTCCCGCGACAGAACTGGATTTTACATGTTGATGGCTCTGCCACAAACAAGGGTTCGGGCGCCGGAGTACAACTCCAATATCTAACTGGAGAACTAATTCGACAATCATTTAGCTTCGGTTTCCCAGCATCTAACAACGAAGCCGAGTATGAATCCCTCATAGCCGGCCTCTGATTAGCGAGAGCCGTTAACGCGAAGCGACTTAGCGCTTATTCCGACTCACAGCTAGTCACGAGTTAATTCAGCGGCGAGTATGATACTCGCAATGACCGCATGAACGCCTATCTAAATTTGGTTAAAACCTTGTCCCAAGAGTTTCAATTTTTTGAACTTACTACGGTTCCCCGAGGAGAGAATGTATGCGCCGACGCTCTCACCGCATTAGGAAGCAAAATACGAGACCAAGTGAAGCGCACGATCCCGATACACCGAATCGAAGAGCCAAGTATCAACGAAACGGTCGGGAACTCGGTCGCCGCAGTCCGAACGCGCACATCTGCACTCGCAAAAAAGGAATTGCCTACCTCAGACGAACACGGTTATGACGCAGCACTCGTGGAAGCACAGGATGATACGAGTATCGACTGGCGCACTGAACTACTCAGCTTCCTACGAGATGACTCTCTACCTACCAAGAAGTGGAAAGCACGACGGATAAAGGCACGAAGCACAAACTACGTGGTTATCGACGATAAACTCCACCGAGTAGCTGCAAATAGAGTCCTGCTCAAATGCATTCACGGCGACGAAACAAGGCTGGTCATGGCCGAAACACACAAAGGTGCAGCAGGAAACCACTCCGGGGGGCGTGCTCTCGCCCTTAAAATTTATAACCTCGGCTTCTACTGGCCAACGATGACTGCCAACTGCATGTCTTACACCCAGCGGTGTGACAAGTGCCAGCAACATGCACCGACTATCCATTCGCCTACTGAGGTGCTCCGAACCATGTCTGCTCCGTACCCTTTCATGCGATGGGGGATGGATATAATCGGCTCTATGCCGAGTTCGCGACAACACCGCTTCATCTTAGTCTTGACCGATTATTTCACAAAGCTGATCGAAGCCGAGGCATACACTATGATTACTGACAAGGAAGTTCAGAAGTTAGTATGGAAGAACATCATCTGCCGCCAGGGCTTACCATACAAGATTGTGACCGATAACGGCTCTCAATTCATTTCCCAACACTTCTGTACATTCTGCGACAAATGGCGAATCCGCTTAAACACATTGACTCCGTGTTATTCGCAGAGCAACGGTCAGGCCGAGTCTTCTAACAAGTCGATCATTGATGGCATCAAGAAAAGACTCGACCTCAAGAAGTGTTGATGGGCCGACGATTCTTACTCTATAGTAGAGGAAGAAGCATGTATATGTTTCTTTGTCATCTCCACTCCTCTTCATGTTCAATGTATGAGAGCTGTCTCCAGAACAGAGATTTTGATTGCATCATCCTTTAGCACGTTAAACATGACATCCTGATATTTTGAAGGGAACTAGATTTGTATCAGCGGCAGTTGTACGGCTACTATGATAGAGAGAACACAAAAGAAGGTAAATAAGAAACAAAGATCTGCAGTACGTTGACAAACTAGGAAGCTAGATTTGATGTGTTGTCTTCTCCGAAACTGGATACATCAAAAAACTTGACATTTTTCTTAATCTAAAAATATTCTTAACAGAAAACATGTTCTAATCATATAAGCCCATATATAGAAGAAGTATATGAGTGTAGACAAGGTTTTGATCATTGTGTTTTTGGATATAGTATTCTTTCCAAACTACAATTTTTCTGTAATCATCTTCTCAGCATATTCTTCTACCAAAGTCACTAGAAAACTATCAATCATAGTACTACACTAAATCGAATCATTTCAGTTAATAACACTTGGTTCATCAGTAATCGATTGATATGTTAGCTGCTGGTCTGTAAATTTTGATGATTTAGTTGTAAGTTTTTGATGTAGAAAATATGATAACATTTAAACCGCTGATTTTTGAAAATTTAGAGGAATGTCCATTAAATTACTTAGGGAATGATTAGAAACAAAAATTGTAAATGAGATGAAACATTTCTATAGTCAACAATCAAACCCGATAACTATAGTTTAATTAACTTTTGTTTATTTTACTCATCACCTTATATATATTTCTAACAAAAAGAATAGAAAAAATTTGGATACTAACATTCAAAATTCATAATATGAAAAATAATGAATAATAAGAATAATTTATACTTATATATATATCTACTTACATTTTTATAATAGATTATACTATTTGTATATTAAAATAAACATACAAAATATATAATCTAAACTAAAATTTAAATAAAAATTTCAGGCGGGCCGACCCCTAGTTTTTTATATTTCTAAACTCTAAATCAACATTTTTCTATTTCTAAAATTAACTTGAAACTGCATAATAAAAGTCTAGCCTATATAAAACCCACATCGCCACTCCCACAACATCCCCTTCACTTTCGCTTCTCTCTCTCTCTCTCTCTTCCAACAAATCTCTGTCGTTTTCCCCGTTATCTCTTTAAGTCATGCCGTCTGAATCAAACCAAACCCGCCCCGCCCGAGTTCAGGGCTCAACAGCGGCTTACCCTCCTCCGAATCTGGTAGAGCCACTGCCTTGTCCTCGCTGCAACTCCATCATCACCAAGTTCTGTTACTACAACAACTACAACCTCTTACAGCCTCGCTACTTCTGCAAATCTTGCCGCCGTTACTGGACTCAAGGTGGTACACTCCGCGACGTCCCAGTCGGCGGTGGAACTCGCCGGAGCTCTTCCAAACGCAACCGCTCTTTCTCTTCCAACGCCACTACTGCCTCCTCTTCCTGCTCTTCTTCCGTCGTAACAACGGCCAACGGATCAGAACTGACGAACCAAGGGGCCGTCACACACGAAGCAAAGGGTAGTAATGAAATCTCAGCTTACGGAAGTTTTGCGTCTTTGTTAAGTGGACAGAGCGACGGAGCAGCGTTTCTGGCGTTGGGTAACGGAAGTGGAAGCGGTGGGTTAGATTACGGGTTTGGGTACGGGTACGGGTTGGAGGAGATGAGTATTGGGTATCTTGAAGGAGGCTCCGGAGGAGAGATACCGGTGGTGGGTGGTGGTGACACGTGGCAGATTGGGGAGATTGAAGGTAAAAGTGGGGACAGTTTATGGCCTGGTCTCGAGATCTCCATGCAAAGCAACGGTGCTAAGTGAAATAAACCGTTTATGACTCGTCTTATTTTTTTTTTTGGTAATCGACTCTTGTCTTATTCTTCATCTGTTCTGTCTTTTGTTCGTTTCCTTTTGGAAATATCTGTTAGTGTGTTTTTTTTTCCTAGTGGGATAGGGAGAGACCAAAGAAGCAAATTAAACAGGAAAGAGAAAAAAAATAGAAGGAAGGTTTAATGTCTTTTTTCTTTTCTTTTTTGAGGTCTAAACAAGGGTGGTTTGTAAATCCTCTGTTTATGTGATGAACATATTGGAATGCCTTTCAAGTAGTAAATGGAAAATGAAAAGAAAAAACAAGATATTTCTTTCTTACTATGGTTGCTTTGAAATTCTTGGAAATTAAGAGAACAAAAATAAGAACAAACTGGCTCCAATATTTTTTAAATGGTGCGAGCCAACAGTATATGGGTCCACAGAGGAAAAAAGTACAGAAGTACTGTTGCAGAATTAGTAAGAAATACTCTGCTGCTACATCTTTGAAAATGAGAAATTTCGTTGAACTTTGTTTTGTTTTATTATAGATGAATATCAACAACGATATTGTTCATTTGCAGTGAAAAAGATTTGGGATATCAACCCATGTGAGTCTAGTGTATTAAGTGTACAACACACATGAAGTACAAGTTTCACATTCAAAACAATCCTTTAACTAATGAATGAAACCAGTTGCAATTTTTGAAACTCGTCAACTATTTGGGTTAGCTTTAGTGTTCTCATAAAACAACTCAACTATAGAGATATTTAGCAACAAAACAAACTGCAACTAACAGTATCTCTAGTATATAGTGGATTTGATATAATGTATAACTGTATAATAGAATTTTTCTATTTAAAAAAATATATGAATATTACTTTTTATCTCTATATTTAAAGATGAAAATAGTATTTCTTTATATTTTTCTTTAGAGATAGAAGAATTCTATTATAAATGTATATATTGGAGCGAATCTATCTCTACAATAGGGTTTCTCTATTTTAAAAGAAAATATAGAGAGTAGAATAGAATTTGGTTAGAACTGATCTAAGGTGTGTTAAACCGTGAAAAGATTTGATAATGAATTGAAAGTGTAGGGATCATAGGTACTGTCGCATAGTATTCTATTGCGGTCAAAAGCCAGAAAACAAGTTGTGCTAAACATAAATGGTAACAGCATTATGACCAAAGGACAGAGAATGATGCTCAGGCTTGTTACCAACTAACATAACATTTGCTCACATGAATAATTCAACTTTGTTCAGTCAAAGCGTAATCAGCTCCATTTGATTGTATATCATATACTATGGTAACTTAATTCAAGTCATCAACTTTTTCTATCTTGGTATTTGTTATTCTTTTTGAAAGAGTGAATGCCATGAACAATTCAACGCACATTTCAGTAACATATTGGTTGGTGCTAAAACTTAAATCAACTGATATATACTCGCTTATTTGTTACTCATACAACAAAACTAACCTTGCGTTTATATTTAGATTTAAATAATTGCATAAGCATAACACTACCAAAACTGTCAAAAAATGCATGATGTGGGTTTGATGTGTAACGTCCAAACCTTGCAGTTAGTCTCACCTCTCCCGGACCGTTATTGATGTTCACGTTTTTCTCTATATGGAAACAGTTGGCTTATGATCTAAAAAATGTCATGGAAGATTCTTATTTATAATATTTTTTTTACTGTAACTCTGATTTAGAATTACTTTTTATTAGGCCATTCACTAAACTGGTGTAGTTTTTTTGTCAACAAGCTGGTTACATAAATATTCAAAAATAAAAAGCGATCATTTTATTTCAATAATATATATCAAAACTTAAAGTATTGATGTTTTCATCAGTGTCGGCTGATTAAGAAAGACAATAAGTTTGAAGGTCACTTTAACAACTAAAGAATCCAATTTTCATATATAAAATGTACCAAAAATTAAATGTTTTTAAAATAAGCTAAAGATGTTCTAAGAATATCTTTTTGTATATATATATATATATTTGTTTTCATTACAAATTTATTTAAAACTTCCTAAATATTTAGGTAAAATCACAAATGCATTTTAAAATCTTTTTTTTTGATCAAAATGTATTTTAAAATCTAATTATACTTTTGTTCTAGAAACATAAAAATAAGCTGAATCTAATTTTAATTGCTAGGTTACTTATGCTTAATCAATTCTATATATTGGATCCATGCTATATATATTATTTTTTACATCAAAAGACTATTCTATTATTAAAGTATGAGATGGTTTGAAAATCCAAATTAAAATAGAATAATCAACAAAAATAAATTAGAAAAAAGTTATGAATAATTTTAACTAAACTATCTGCAGTCTGATTTTGAGTTTTTGGTATATATAAGATATCTTAAATGCTGAAAATCTTCTTCTCAATAAAGTAAACTCACTTAATTTTTTAGAAAAACTTGACCAATCTTTTGGATTTTGAATCGTTAAAAATAAATACTTGCACTCTTTTGCCATATTACATATGTTATTAAATATGTAAAATTTCCAATTATTATATATGTATGTATTTGTGGGTTAAGTTATGATTCTATAAACAAAATTCGTGACGAATGTATGCACATAAAACCGACTTTACTCTTAACTCTAATCTCATATATTTCATAAACTCATGACATACCGTTCCAATTTATCATTATTCTATTTCCATTTAGTTTATCACATTTTTTTCCTCTCATTTCTTTTCATATCTTTAAACGTAAATAGTCCATAATTAATTGTGTTTGAAAATATTAATCCCTCCGTTTCATTTTAATTGCTGCTTTAAGTTTATCTACACAAATTAAAAAATATTTAATTTTATTTTATAAAAAAAGAAATATAATTTCATATACATTTAACCATATTTTAATCAATAAAAATTTAAATAATATATAAATTAAAAAATTTTGCATTAATACTTATTTTAAAACATTAATTTTTTTCTACAGAGACAAATAAATTAAAACAAAGTGAGTATTAAGGATGATGGCATGCTATCATAAGATGATTAGAAATTTTAAAATGTTAAGCATGTTAAGTATTCTATTGTTTCAGGCGAAGTTATTCTAAAGAGATATTTTAATAAACTTATAAAGTGGGCGTCATTGACCTTCAAGTGTCAAATTAAATTAGCATCATCATGAGATTTTGAATCATTTGCAAAGACAAAAAGAGACTTAATTCCTCGAAAGAATGTCTATCTTGATCCAAAGGTTGTCTATATATAATGATCAATCTGATTCAACCACCCAACATTTGTTTAAGTATGTTCATAATGAGCCTCGTTCATAATTACACAACTATGATGACGTTTCCTAAATTTGTGGTTTCTCACATCATTGCCTCTCAGCATGTGTGTTGTGATTCTCTGAGCTTCTCCCTACATCAATCATTGTTGTGGTGTCCTACTTATTAGTATTATTTTTTTTCTGATTTACAGAATCTACATTTTTTTACCACTTAAAGAAATCCTGAATGATCGGATTCAAATTTAGATGAAAATACTCACAAATATGAACCATTTATCACAAGAGCTGGAAATTTTGATTTATTTATAGAATCATAACTTAACCCACAAATACATACAGATATAACAATTACAAATTTTACATATTTAACAATATATATAACATGGTCGAAAAGATTGCAAGTTTGTCGATGATAATGGTACCCTACTTTTACTCCCAACTAAAATCAAAATACGAAAGTTAATCTTCAAAATTTATGTACTATAATTCTTAATTACTATATATAACTCCCAGAAACTTATATATTGCTAAACATATAGAGAACACATAGCTTTCCAAAACCAACATGCAAAAAAAAAAATCATTTTAAAATGTTGTAGCTCTTATATAAAATGAAACTTCACTCTACTGTTTCATTTTAATTATTGGGTTCATCCTCTAGGATGAACAATTATTTCATATTCAGTATTTTTCTTAAAAAAAACAAAATATTATCGAGTTATATTATGTTTTAAAAATTAAAATATAAAAATAAATAAATAAATAATAGTAGTTGCAAACAAAAAACTTAAAAAAAATATTTTAATACCGTCAGTAAAACACTAAACCCTAAATCATAAACCCTTGGATAAATCCTTAACCATTGTATTAATCTTAAAGCCTAGGATTTATGATTAATCCAAGAGTTTATAGTTTACCCAAGGGTTTAGAGTTTAGAAAATAGTGTTTTGCTGACGGTATTAAAAATATTTTTTTTTAAATCAAAGATTTATCCAATGGTTTAGGGTTTACAGAATGGTTTTAAGGTTTAGGATTTAGTGTTTTAATAATAGTGTTAAACAAATTTTAATTTTTTTTACAACTGCTATTCTTTTTATCTTTAAATTTTAAAAACATTATAACTCGACAATATTTTGGGTAAATATATTCCAAGATATCTTTCTATAATAGAAGTTTTCTATTTTTATGAGAAAATATAAAAAAAAACATTATTTTTTATCTCTAAATATAAAAATAAGAAATAATATTACTTTATATTTTTCTCTAAAGTAAAGAAACTCTATTTTAGAGCCATATAGCAAATCTATTTCTACATAAAGATCTCCATTTAAGAGGAAAATATAGATATTCATTGGAGATATTCTAACCATTAGATATTGATAATAGTTTAAAGTATGGTAAAGAAAATATGATTATTATTACAAGTATTTGTGAAAATAAGATGAAGTAGAGAAAACTACCTTAGGAGAATCTCAATAAGGATTGTTATCAAAGGCACTTAAGAACTTACTGAATATATCACACATACATTTGTTCCAATCCAAAACAAAGGCACTCGTAGACAACACACAGACAAATACAAAAAAAAAAAACTTTTAAAACACGATAACAACTGACTTTGGACATCAGCTTAACTTAGTTAGGACTAAAGAACTTAAGCTTAAGTCCTTGAGTAACCATACTCCATATCCCACCAATGGAAAAGGCCAAGCTGAATGCAACTCCTAACCAACCCAATCCCCAATGGAAATACCAACTGAAACTGTACTTGGCGGGTTTCTTGATCAAGACCCACATGAAGCAAGGATAAGCAAACGTGACCGGGAGTGTAAGTCCACCGAGCAAACCCGCGAGGCTAGACAGGAAAGGGAGAGCAACGCCAATGAAAAACGAGACAAAACCGAAAAAGACTCTGAAACCTGATCTGACCCATATTGAACACGGCTTGTTGGTTCGGCTTGTGTAGCCAGCCTCAAAGCTGTCAAAGGCAGGCATGGAGTATATCTGAAAGCTGCTCAAGCAGCTGAAGACAAC